TTTATAAAAGGCAATTTCCCCCTTTTGCATTACAGCTAATTTCATAGATTTTTCATCTTTCTGTTTTTGAAAGCATGTTGTTTGGTTGTTTGAATTGTCGTGTTGTCTGGGACTCACAAATACATTGCCAATCATCTTTGAGCATAAATGAGCTTTCATTAAGAGTATTAGTCCTGTAGAATCTCCCAGCCCATCTAAGTGCTACAGCAGGGGAGCAAAAACATGAGTTTCCACTTTCCTTCTCTGCTCATTTGCCAGGTATCCTTTAGCCGGTTTCCCCTCCCTGCCACCAACTGCTGCAAAATTTTATTTTCAGAGATATAACATCCACCATGTTAGCTTGAAGGAAAATTCCAGCTACACCCAGCTAATACTGCTGCCTAAATATTAATTTACAGCTTACTTTTGCCCTTCTCTTATGTCATTTTTTCCTATGGGATTTTGAGAAACCTAAGGATATAATTCTTGAAATGTTTAGTATTGTTCTGTTTGCTCATTTACATCTTGTTTTCTATTCCCCCAACTATGGGAATATAACATTCCTCATAAGAGACATGGCTCAGAGTAAGCAATGCCCCCCCATCTCCCTCACCCCCAGGAGGGTTTGTGATACCATCATGCCCAGGACTTACAACATATGACACACTGAATGGCAATTATTTATTTTCATGTCTCGCTCCTAAACGGTGAGGGCAGGAACCATGGCCTGTTTGCCTTGAGTACCTGGCACATTTCAAAAATATGCTTTTGAAAGAATGTCCTGCAGTCTAGGGTAGTAAATGGCTGATGTTAGAGTTTAAGCTTTACCACTTGAACTCTGTGGTTTGGGAAAATTGCTCACTGTTTCCAACCCTAAATTTCTTCATCTGCACAGGTCACCGTCCACCTGAAGGCATTGGTGTGAGGTCAAATTGTCTAACGTGCATGAAAGGACTTCCTACATTTCTCTCCATACATGCAGTATTATTATTATGGTTTTTAACTAGGAAGTTTATAGTTTCTTTGCTGCATTTTTAGAAAGACAAGTTAGATTTTTCTGGGAATATTCCTCTGATAACATTCATATAACTGACTTTTTGGGACCTGCATGCTATTGCTTATATAGTTGTTTTATGGTTCGTAACGTGTATTTTTATTAAAGGTTTCCACACTGTAAAACCATAATCAACACGGGTTAATAAAAAAACTGGTTTAAAAAACAACTGCTTTTAAGATGATGTAATAGCAGAATAATAGCCTGGTTGTATACATTTCATCGTTTTCTCAGAAGTATCTGAGAAAACTAGAAATCAGGATTTCTAGTAGCCAAGAACGATGTTAAAAAATTCTTTAGTGCGATATAGGCTTGAACTTATCCTGTGAAAATGTGGCTAATACCAGGTTTTGTATTTTGTCTGCACAAGTTTCTCTCTATGACAGCTTGCCACCAGCCAGATTAATATAGATGCTCATTAATCCAGTCAAGTAAAAATGTCAGCATGTTCACTCTGTAAGCTCCTTTGTAGCACCTAGAAGGATGCCAGGCAGGCAGCAAACACTAAACATGTTTTGCGGTGGGAATGCCAGTTAGCTTGCGGGGCTCCCTGTGTTGATGGGAGAGAATACAGTCTAATGGCTAAAACAATGGGTTTTAATGTTACTCAGACCTGGGCTCATATGCTTATATTGGTTTTTACACATTTTTGTAACTTCTGAGCCTCAGTTTTTTCATCTGTAGAATGGATACACAAATACTTCTATAACGGCACAATAGAATTGTTATGAGACTTAAATATATGAGACTCGGAGGTTAGGTAAGTTGCTTAAAGGAAGAGGCACACCAGGTTTTGAACTCAGGCAGTCTGGCTCCAGAACCTGAATCCTAAACCACCAGTGCTATACCTTTCATGCCTTCCGGCCCAATGATACTGTTATGAACTTAGTGTTTTAGTAAAATGGGTGGCAGTGTTTTGGATGGTGCAGGAAGGAATAGCATATCCCATTATTGTGGCTTGTCACAGGTACCGACATTTGACACCCAGAGAAGGAGTCTGTGTCCACTAGATGGCATTGCTGCTTTAACAAAATGTGAGCCAAGTCCATAACTGGGTTGAAGAGCCTGCTAAATTTGAGAGCACTAGCAGGACAATCTAATCGCATCCCTAAAAGTCTGATGGAACAAGCCTTTAAAATTTAGAGACTATCTAGAGATTCTAAAGACTAGTTAATTATCTTGAAATAGTTAAGAAAAAAAATATATGCTAGTTCATTTTGGGTATCTATGTCTGTGTAGAAAATCTGGGTGAATTTTGAGATTATCACGTCATCAGTTCACTGATGAATAGACTGAGGGCCAGAGAAGAAAAGTGACTTGCCTAGGGTTATCCAGACCTGAGAATTTTGACTGTATTTCTTTTCCCATAATATTTCATAGTGCTTCTAAATCACTAGGAAACTGTGATTTTTGAATTCTTATAAGACTTTCCTTTTTGGGTTTCGGGCAGAAAATTGACAAACAATTGTTTTGTTTCATTAGGATTTGAACATATGTCCCAAATCAATAGCATACGCTGGCACTTAAATATTAAGTAGGATAAAAGCAAAAAACGGTGCTTATTTCTCTTTTTTGTTAACACGTCCTCTTGGAAATATTAAGTGACTTCACTTAAAAAGACTGTCCTGACTGGTTTACAATGCAGTGTGTGGCTATTAACCCCAGAGCAGGTAGCAGGGTAATGGGTAAGCAAAAGGGCTCTGGAATCAGATGCTCTGGGGTAGAACCTGGCTCTATCATTTATTATAGTAACCAAAGGACCCTGGGAAGGTCAGGAGACGCCTCTAAACCTCTGTTTCCTCATCTGTAAAATGGAAATAATATTTTTACTTATAAGATGCTCATGAAAACGAAATGTGTGTGAAGTGCCTCTGACATAGTTAAAAAACAAGAATCGCGGGCCGGCCGAGTGGCGTGATGGTTAAGAACTGGCCTGGGACACCAGAGGGCCCCGGTTCGGATCCCACATATGAGGGCCAGTGACACTGCCCTCCACAGCTAAGATGCTGAACAACAGCTCAACCTGGAGCTGGGCTGCTATGAGTCGCCGGCGAAGGCGTAGGCTGCAGTCCCTGTGGCAGTGGGTTGCCATGGGCTACCGTGTGTGGCCAGCAGCCAGCGTGAGCGGCCAGCAGCCGCAGTGAGCGGCCGTCCAGAAGCCGGCGACTGATCTGCCTCGCCCGGGAAGAGCGCAATGATGGTGCCAACTTGGGCCAGTGAAGCAACATCCTCCACAACTAGACTGAAGAACAAAATGACAGCAACTTGTCTGTCCCCCTTCCCCCAATTCCCCAGCACTGTTCCCATCCCCCCAATTCACCAATAAAAAAAAAACCTTAAAAAAAAAACCAAAAAAAAACCCCAAAAAACAAAAAAAACCCAAGAATCGCAAAAATAATGAATATTTTTGTATTAGAGCTGGTGTTTAGTTTTCTGTCTCTCAGTTGTGAATGTCATTACAGGTTGTGAATGTGAACAGCTTCTTTACTCACTGTCACATGCTGGATTGCCCAAAGGGAGACATAACGTTCCAGGTTTTATAACTGTGTAACATCGCTTCTTCCTCAACCAGATGGTAGAAATAGCCAAGATACATATGGCATGTACTTCATTGTGTGTTCACATCAACTTTATTTAAAACACGTAGGCTTTAGGCTCCTACTCACAGCGCAGCCAGAGAAGGTGACTGAACACATGGTATACGAGTAATAACGGCCAAGAGATAGAGCACTTGCTGAGTTCCAAACACTGCTCTGTTTTACAAGTATTAACTCATTTAATAGGTACAACAACCCTGTGATCGATGAATGAATACTCTTCGCTTTTTAAAGATGAGCAATCAAAAAAAAAAAAAAAAGGATGAGCAAACTGAAATTCAGAAAATTTGCTCCGGCTCAAAAATAAGCCAGAGAGCAAGAATTCAAAGTCGGGCGGCCTGGTTCTTAAACACTGCTCTGCTACCTCTCAGGGTGGCGTGTGAGGAGGCCTCAAAAGCCCCTAGGCTCTACACGGCTTTCCCCAGTCCACTAAATACTGCAATGAAGCCTGGTAGAGCCACTGTTTACTTAGCTCTTCTAGGCTACTGTTAACATGCAACTCCGTTACTCAGGAGGGTCATGTGTTAAACCCACATCGATATTTTTTATGGCACCTACTTAATAAGATCAACTGGTTAAACATTGAATACACTCCTGAGCTTAACAGGGTTAAACACAGTTGTGACCGGTCAGAAGAGAGCATGCATAGGAAAGAACACTCTTGAAGACCACTCCTTAGGAATCAAAGGACATCACAGCAGAAAGAGGATCGGGTTGCTGATGCAATCACGCCTGTGACGAGCCCTAGTCACCAGGGCTTATCGGTTGCTGTTATGCTCTGTACCATTCCAGACTACGCTCTTTTCATTGCCAGTAATTCATACTCTACTCTCATGTAGAATTCTGGAATTCAGGTTTATAAGAGGCTTAGAGGTCTTCTGGTCTGCTCCTCTGCCTTTTCTAAGAATGAAACAGAGGTACCCTTTGCTTATGGTTTGTCCCCAGTTATCTTAGAGGGAGAGCTGGAGACCTGTTCATTCAGTTATTACACACTATTTCTATACCTCTTAGCTATTTTACTATAAATAGCACCGCTTTGAATCCTTGCTGAAATTTTCCTGTTTATACCAATAACATTTTTCCCTCAGTGATGAACCCAAATTTAACAGATAGCATCTGTTCTTTACAGATAGCATCTTTTTATTTATAATTTCTTCTTTCTCCCTTTGCTTGAAACCAACTTTTATGGGACAGGGGAACAATGAGAGCTAGTAAAATATGTTTTAAAATCAATTCGTTTTCTCATTAGAAGCCCATGAATGCAAGTAATAATTCAATGTAGACCTAAGAAAATGACCATATTAAACAAGACCAGGGCAACCTCAAAGCAGAATTTCCAAAGAATAAGCTGGGAGTTGACTTCCACTTACCGATTTCAGTCATTGTGATCCCTGGTGCTAACTGCCCATTGTTGAAAGAGCTATAGGTAAACAAGTTGGGTACGGATGTGAGGTCATAGATAGGTTCCTGCTTTATCTGTTTGATTCCAGTCATGTCAAGTCCTGACTGATCAGGAGACGGCTGGCCAGAATCCACATTGTAATAACCCTCGGACTTAGGTAGGTCAATGACGTGTCCGTTGGCATAAGTGCCACTGGCCTCGTTGTTCAGGTTACTGAGGCTGTTACTGATGCTGCTGCTGTACACCCTGGCAAGGGCTTCCGCCTCCCCGCTCTGCTGCTGCCGCTGCTCCTGCAGCCGCTGCTGGTGCTTCTGCACCTCGGCATACAGGCTGTCTCTTTGCTTCTTGGACATCCTCCCAAACTTCACAGCTGGGTTGGAGACAAAAGCAGAAAACAGCATTGCAGTTATCATCCTCATTAACGACGAGCTCAAGTCCAAAAGGTCAGGGATAGTTGTCCCCTCAACATCAAAGGCAAAACTCCTAGCACCATAGCCAAACAGTCCACTCATACTCCATGTTTGGGGAAAGGTTGTACTCAGGGGTGTCTGTGCTGGTTTCTGTGCATGGCGAGAACTAAATCTAAGCTAGGCAGAAATGTGAAAACTTATCTATTTCTTGTTGCCATGAAGTTAGAAGTCATACTTCCTTATTCTTGTGTGTGTGTGGGAACCCAATAAAAACCAAAAACTACCAAATAATACCTGCTATTAAAATGCCAACCAAAACTCATTATTAGCTCCCTTCCTCCCAGAATTAGGATTACTAGATTGTCGGATAAGGTCTTATTATTTCACTGTCTCCTAAATAGTGTGTTGGGTCAGAACAAGAATGGGGGGCAGAGTGAGAAACACAATTTTAAGTAAACCACATCATTTGCCTTTAGTTGGCTTTGGTATCAAAATGAAAGATCTTTGGAAAGTGGCAATTTTGCGTGTCCAATGGTTGGCAAGTGAGCCAACAGTAACCCTCCTTTCTCATTCTACCACCCCAAGTTTTAGATTGCCCATCTCTTCTGGCAAAATCATTAACCATTCTGAGGGAAGAAGAGGAAGAGGCTCTGTAAGTGGTCATAGAGTAATATGAGATGCTTTGCATTGTTTCTTAACTTATTGAGCTTCATCTCCTGAACTGTTATGATATTGACATTGTTCCTCACAAGCTGTCAACTCCCATTTTTGGCTGTGAACATCCTGAGTCAAGGAGCCACCTTGTCTGAATTATCAAGCGCTATGTCATTCAGCTCACTGTAATGGTGGGACCCATGACAAACTTGAAAGTTCCTCTCTGTGTTTCTGTTTTCTTTTCTTTTGTGACAGTGTTCCCATAACCTGTTGGTATGGGGAGCTCAGAGAATGTAGAAAGGCTAAAGTGGAGGGTAGAAACAGGTTCAATCCCTGGGTTCGGTCACTAGGGTTGATGAGAATAACTTCTGAGAATAACTAAATGGTGAAGTGCTTAAGAGCTCTCCAGCATGAAGGGCACACAGATGAGATTCTTGCTGTGAAAGAATTGCCATTTCACTCTCCAATATTCCTTCAATATTCATTCTTCTTCCATTAGTTATAGTTACCAAATTTTATCTAAGCATCAGCTGTTGAAAATGGAGACCACAGTTTCCAGCCTCTCTCACTGCCAGGTGTGGCTATGTGATTAAGTTATGGGTAACACGAAGTAAATAGAAGTGCTGCATTCACTTCCGGGTGTTGGGGCATGTCATTTTCCTCCTTCTTGCTTGCTGGATTATGGATGTGAGGGGTGGATTTAGGGCAACCCAAACTTTCCTATTTCTCCCTAATTCTTCTTAAAAGCCTATGTTCTTGCTTTCTGATGCTGCCTAATTTGGAAAACAATGGGGTAATTATCCAGTAATTTTTCTGAATGAAGACAATCTGGTTAATTCAGACCAAACTCCTCTTTCCACCTCAATTTTTGTTTTTATAGGGTCTTGAATCAGATCATTGTGTTTAACTCTGTTTGTAGAGACACTATTAGATTTTGTTTCTCAGAGACAAATTTATTTGCTTACTAATTGTAGTGGTATTTGTAGTTTGTCCATGGAGAGAATTTTACAGAAACTTTTAGGGAAAGTGTTTTCTGTACCTTTATATTATATCTTTACAAATATTTCTGTATTATATCATATATACAATTCTCTACGAAAGAAAAACCTTTTTGTATAAGAAAAAATAGCCATGATAAATTTTGATTCAGAAAGCATTATTCCCCTCCAAGAAGGTAATGTGACATGCCTCTTCATTTGCTGATCCTCTGTTTCTTGTTTCATGTAGGTTCAGAACAGCTCTTTGTCACAGAGCTATGGAGGTGAATACAAAATTTATATTTATTGCTATAGAGTAAGGTTTTTGTTTTGGCTGGAGTATATCCACTTCCTGACTTACTTTAGTAGAATTCTTTTGCATTTGTTAGTTTAAAATTTATAGGGAGAAAAACAATTGAAAATGAGAAACACTTCTAACATGGTGACAGAGATGCAGTGTCTCTTTTAAAACTCCTTTCCATTTAATCCTTATTTTAGATTTTTATACACTCTGTATTTAGGTGAAACATACATTGTATAGATTGATTTTATTAATGACTTTAAGTTCTCTTACCTAGTTCCATGCCCTTACCCATGTAAATCTGCAGAGCCTTTTCATTCTGTGTAGGCATTCTACCTCCCCCCACCCCCCATCCCCCGCCCCGACTCAGGGTCACATGGATTGTTTTAGGCCAATGGGATATTGACATATGTGACACAAACAGAGGCTTCCAAAGTGCTTGTGTGAGTGAGTACTCACCACGAAAAGCACATGCCTGAACTAGCTTGCTGGAGGATAAGGTATGTGAAGCAGCACTGAGCCACCTCAGTCATCCCAGGCAAGGCCATTTATAATCAATAGAGGCACAGACTGACTTGCAGCTGCTGGTAGATGAATGAATGAACCCAGTCAAGAGCCTACATTTAACAATTTGAGGTTCAGAATTCTGCTGTTAACCACAGATCTCATAGCCAGAGCTAGCAGTGTCAAATAAGTATGCTGTCAAGACCTCTGCCCTTGTGAACATCTGAAAACCCAGTGATGAATAATTATGCTTTTTCCAAGAAATTAACTTTTCGGGTCACTGAGCAAACTGAAATATTTTCAAAGAAACAACTGAAAGCCCCACCACCTTTTGGAATTATCAGGCTTCATTCTAAATCAAGGACTATACTGACAATTACTATAATACTATTTTAGAATAAATTTCCCATTCATTTCAGAAACACTGAAGAGAGAGTGTTTCAGTTTTATGCCCCTTCCTATAATAAACGTGGTGACATATTTGGGAAAAAAATTATAGTACATGGGAAAACAAACAAACAAACAAAAAACCCATTGAACTTTCCTGACATATAAATAATTCACTATTCATAAATACATATATTTGCTGTATTCATAGGCCTATTTCAACAAAGGCTGTATTACTATTATAGTTTCAAATATTATCATTCTCCTTACCACTACCCATTAATCAGAATGGCATATATTTTAAGTGTTTGCCCTTCTCAAACTTGAATTATTCTGTTAATGAGATTCACTTGAGTATAGAGGCAGCCTCTTGTTAAACTGCTAGCTCTTAAAGAAACTTGCACAATTCTGTATACATTGCAAGTGCTTTATAAATATTCAGTAATGATGATATTTGCTCATGATAAGCTCTTAGCCCTCATCTTGATCCCACAGTAGTAAGGAACAATTTTACACAAAATATTGGAAATCTTTTCATATTTATTTGGATCATGGAGTTCTAAATGGAATGGAGGTTTTTGGAGTAACTATAAAACAAAGTCATTGCTTCTTCAGACTTCTACTTACTACCACATGACAACTAGACACATGTTTTTGGTTTCAAGAGAACTGAATTGTAAAACTATCTTCTATAACTTTCCATAGTCATTTTGGAAATTATTTTATCTTACAATCTTTGGCTATAAAGTTCTCTATGTTTATATCTCACTGCTTACCAAGAAACTGCTCTTAATTTATTTAGCTCTTTTAAATTTCAAGGATATGCCTTTTTTATAGTGCTCTCAGCTTTGTAGAAAAAAATCTGGTTCAGTCTACCCAGCCCTATTCACAATGTAAAAGCATCCCCCTCGCTTCTTCTCCAATAGAGCTTCCTATGATGATGGAATGTTTTCTGTGCTTTCCAATATAATAGCCACAAACCACATGTGGCTGTTGAGCTCTTGAAATATAGCTAGTGTAACTGAAAAATCGGATTTTAAATTTTATATAACTTTAATTAATTTCAATTTCAATTTAAATAGTGACACTTGGATACCATATTGGAAAATGCCATTCCGGATAAGAAGAAGCTTAATTTGTGAAACCTGTCCTTGTCAGACAGCTTCCATTTTTGCCATAGAGGCATGTCATTAAGAGGACATATACTTGATTATTGCAAGGTGAGCGTCGTGTTTTCCCTTTGGAGCCCAGTATCTTCCTACTGATGCCAAACATTTTTCTGGGCTTTTGGTTTGTTTGTTTTCAGTAGTACAATTGGAAACGGTTTACACTGAAGATTCCTGCAACTAACATTTTTCAAGGGTCCAGATAAAAAGAAAAAGAAATAAGATGGTAGAGAAAATTCAGAGGGTATCTACATGCTATCAATTCACACCCACATATACATGCATACCCTCACCTTATTACACATATAAACACATGTGTATGTATTTCAAGTGGATTTGATTTTTGATTCTTTGTCTAAGCTAAATTTGAACAAATTTGTTATTGCTGAGTTTGCTGTCTATTTATATGCGTGCCATGGCTAAAAAAAAAACCACCATAAAAGCGGAAATTCACCATAAAAGTGGAGAACGACAGCCCAGCGATTCCAACAGTTACAACAAACTATCTACTAGTAGCCATGTTGTTTCAGTGACCAGTTATGGTGAAGCAAATATTCTTGGAGCCAGGCATAGTTGACAGAAAACAAATGCAAATATCAAAATGAAGATGCCACTTTCGGTCTGAGGGAAGGTGGGAGGGATGTATGTAGAAAAAAGTTAGGTGTGAGGGCATTTTACCTTGGCTACAGGCACTACTGCTAAAACACTTTGACAATATTTGTTTAACCAGTAAAAGATAGTTATAATAAACTACCGGCAGGAGAAACACCACCTCTCATTCTTGAATCCTTACTAGCCATAGCTAATCAACCATAATTTCAGGGGTGTCCAATCTTTTAATACTACATACTAGGCATTACTTATCAATAAGATATAAAACCTATTCAGCTTCCCTGGTGTTAGTATGATTTATTTGATATAAAGTACCCTTTATAATCAAAGTTTAGACCAAACTCCCTCAATATAACGTAATAAAGAAGAATTTGTTTTCTATTAGAGAGAATCTTTTTTTTTTTTTTTTCCTGCTGGGGCCCTTTTTTGCTCCCAACCACCACTCCCACCCGGAGCATTTCTCCTCCTCATTAGTTTGACATAAGACATACTCAGGAGGCATTTTGGAAAATGTCCCTGGCAGCCTCAGGGTTGTCTCTGAACTGAATATTAAGATGGATCATTATCTTTAATCCCCAGTATCCTTAGACACTGTATTGCTTTTACTTGCATAGAGGTTTATGTGCTGCAGTAAATTTCTTCCCCCTTGAGACTAGATTGTGGCTCTATCCATTAAATGGCCCCCTCAACACACGTCTTTTATGTCATGGGATTCAGACAACCTCCTAGATTTTGTGGGCTAATGTCACTGACTCTGCCTTGAACTGTGTGCTCATCCCTTGCCCATTCTGTTCACCAGCACAGACCCACAAGATCTGCCCTTCCAAGAGAGATGCTTCCTTTCATTATAGGAAGAAATGACAAAGACGAATACCAACAGCTTATTCGTTTTGCACAATTATTAATGGGGCTTCTCATATACTGTCAAGTGATACACTGCCTCCATATGATAGAAATGAAGTGCAAAATCATCAACTCAAATTTCCGTAAAATTTTACTAAATAAATCCTGAAACCCACTTAATCCCCATCCTCCATTTTCTTCACTTCAGTTATGTGGAAGTACACAGTGCTATAAATTTACCCTAGGAGTAAATTTATGTGGATAGCAAGTGTAGAAAAAAATAAACAAGCAAAAAATCAGTTGGGTAATAGAAAAGTTTTGGAAACTTACATCTCTGCAGCTTTAGAAGCTACCTTATGTACCTATAAGGTCAGATTCTTTTTATTTATTTTTTTAGTTAAATTTGCCTCATAGGTGTACTTTTGTGCAAGACAGGTTTAGGTGGGTTGGGAATTAGAGCAAAGGTAAACAAAAATTCAAGATATAACTATTTGGAGAATAGAAGCTAAGAAGTAAGCAGTTTATATGCTTACATATCAAGACCTATGCAGAGCTGAATTTATCAAATGCCTAAAAGGCCCACATTTAATTTAATAATTCATAAAATCTCTTTTTACTAAGAGATGGTGCATGCCAATTATCCAAATTTTTTAAAATTCTGGAAGTATTTCTTTTCTTTTCTTTCCTCGTGTGTGTGTGTGTGTGTGTGTGTGTGTGTGTGTGTGTGTGTGTGTGGTGTCCATACCACCTTGAACTTCATTAGAGGGACAGTAACCAGAGGCACAGAATTCAGGGTGATTCACATAAAGAGAATAAGTACCAAAGGCATTGTCTTTGTTTCAGGCTCCACGTAAAAAAGAATTGCATGGTTCATTAAACAAACATTTAAGTTCCTGCTTTTAACCAGACCCTGAGGATACAGTGAGAATAAGACAGAAATGGCCCCAAGAGTCAGGGCTGCTCACTATCTGACATAGAAGTTCTGCGGCCAATGTCAATGCGGAAAGAGTTCGTTTAGGTGAATGCTTAAAATGGAAGGAAAGTTAGATGAAATTCTTTGTTTATTTGTCCTCTTTCATTAATCTAAGCAGTTCAGTTGGGGACTCAAGCCACCCAGCTGGGTTGGGCATGAGGGTGGCGTACACACTTGAGTCATATTCTGAGGACACCACCTACACAACCCTCCTAAGACTTGGAAGGCTGTTATAGCCTGTGGCATCTTCATCATGACTCAGAAGAGTCTACATCCTTAGATAAGTAGCTGTGATCAGCCAGTGGAGCTTATGGGTTTCCCATAAAACTCGTTCTGTTCCTTAGCATCTCTACATACTAAGCCGTTTGTGCACCAGTCAGACTTACCCCGTGACCAAAAGGTTCCAGTTGCCTAGGACTTTCAAGTTTTAGCTCTGAAAATCCCACGTCTCAGGAAACCAGCCCCTCATTTGCAGGCAAACCTGGACAGGTGGTCATATTTCACTATAGGCCCATGTGGCTTTCACCTAACCTAGTTAGCACAGGTTGCTCCACAAGCTACAGTCAAGTCTTTTCTTCCTATTTCATAGGCAATATGATATTTTTATATGTTCTTACTTTTCCTCTTAATACACTACCAGTATAAGCTTTTCTTATCTCCAAGTCCCTTTGTCTAGAATTCTTCCAGTGGCTTAAACAGATTCCAGCAAAGCATCAATTTGAAAGCCTTTATGTAGGAAATAGGAAGGCAATGCCTTACCATCTCTCGACATTCCTAGGGCAAGACACTTCTGCAGTCGGCAGTGTTGGCAACGGTTTCTGTTGGTTCTGTCAATTAAACAGTTTCTCTGCCTTGGGCAGGAGTAAGAGGCATTGTTCTGCTGGCTCCTCCTAAAGAACCCCTAGAGGGAAAAAGAGAATGGGAGGGAGACAGTTAAAAAAAGGGAAATGAAGACCATTAACATAGACAGATGTTACATTTTCTACAGTGAACATAACTGAGTTTAATTTTTAAAATTTTCTGGCTATCTCTTCTTGGGTTACTTACAGATGCTTCTACTGGGGAAAATATGTACTATCTTCAGAGATATGAAGGTATCATTCATTCATTCATTCATTTAATCAATGTTTACTGAAGGCATTTACAAGGTGTGCTGCTCTATGCAAAAAAACCCACAAGAGAGTTCCTATCCCAAAGAGCAGAGGAAAAGGAATTGTAGAGGAAAAGTGTCACTGCTAAGCCAAATATAACAAAACTTGATGGGGATAATAACACAGGTTCATGTCAAGTGCTGTGGAGGTGAGGGACTTGGAGTATTGGCCGCAATAACAGTACTGAGGAATGCGGGCTGTCTTCCTAATTTCTAAGATCCATTTTTACCCATTTGAAAAATTTTGAACTTGGCCACAATGCATCTGAAAGGTTGTTTTTGAAATCAGTGATGTACCTTATAATCAACCACATCTTTGAATAAAAAAAATATGGTATATGAACTGTTCAATAAAAAATAAGCAATAAGTAAAAGCTACACTAATGCTCTCTGCTTGGCCTCAGGCTAAAGTGATGCAGGAGGTTTTCATGTAAATAAGTTTATATCCTGGTACAAAATGAACTGGACCTTATATTACCTTTGTGAGTAAACCCACAGCTGAGTTTATTATTTTTAAAATTCTTTGGATACCACTCACTTTAGTTATCTTACAGAAAACTCTACTGGGGAAAATAAACATTTTCTCCAGAGATATGAAAGTATCATTTACCCATTAATTCACTTACTTAATCAGTTTCCCTAATCACTCCTTACTCTTGAATTGCAATACAGCAAACATGCAAAGAGCTACGAACAAAGCGGTGGTGTATAGTAGATTTGCCAAGAGAAATTTTAGGAAAAGATAACTCGTAGTGTCACCTTTTGGAAGAGGAAGCCTAGGAAAGTTCCAGGTGGTAAGCCCAATATCCATCTTGCTGAGAGGCCTGGGATAGGTCACCTGGCTTCCGTCAAACAGCTTCTGTGTTTCCTCAACTATCAACAGGAGATAGAGCAGGGCCGGGGCTAGGGTTGAGGCTAGGGAGGCAATCACCTTGGCCCCAAAATTCAAGGGTCGCCAAAAGTGTTGGTAATCAGGATAAGAAATATTTTAAAACAGTATGTTAAAAATCAACATGAATGCAAAAAACTCCCAAAAGTTTAAATAAAGACAGGATCAAGATTGGTGATTTTTCTCTGTTTGAGGCTCTCATATGACTCAGCACAGTACTATAAAGAGAGCTTGGCCAACCTGTGAAGAATCTCAGAAATGGATGTGTGGCCAAGTGTCTTAGAGAGAGAGTGTGTCGACTGGTTTTGTGGTTGTAAACCCCAAGCCAGTTAACAACAAGCACTAGTTTCATCCTCACAGATCCATGTGTATTATTTATTTAATGGACCAGCAGTGGCAGAATGAGATATCTGATTGTCCAATTCAAATGATTTCATGAAGCCCCTTAAAATAAAGATTATATCTGAGCTCCCAGGGATTGACATACCATGAAAGCTGACAGAAAGCATAACCTCAGCGCATTGATCCTGATTAAAGATGACTTGGAATTTACATTTTAAGAAAGAATGGGTGGTTTTTAATCTTTGGGTACTCTAGTGCCACTTAGCAGAAGGGTTGACAGAAAAGACTTTTCTGAAGTCACAGCTACAGTCCTAATTTAAGGCCAATTTGACATTAATTACGAGGCATTTCTTGCTTATCTATTGCTTATTATTGTAAATGAGGTTTTTGGCATGAAAAAGAGATTCCGTTTCAAATTTTATTGAATGAATAGGAATTTGAATAAGTGCACAAGCTGAATTGATGTTATTTAAAGTGAGTTGTTTATGTTGACTGGAAAATAGTATTATGAAAATTCAGAGGTTGATACTAAATGTGCTGACATTGACATCTTATTCTGAATAGAATTTCTTGAGTTTTCTATTTGGAGAAAAATGTAGCACTTTTCCAGGAAGTAAAAAAGTAGTGTGGTGTACAATTTCATTTTGACTAAAATCTCAGAGAATGCTTCAGAATAACGCACAATTTCTTTGATTGTGGATTCCTCCTTTAAATAGAAAAGATGACAGGAGCCTAAACACTTGTTCCTGGTTATTGGCCTGTTGGAATATATTTCTTCAGCAGTTAAATCTTCTGGAAATTACTGCAAAATTATAAATAATGTTATACTCCTTACCATGAACATATCCTCATATTCTGAAATCAGATATTTTCAAAATGGAGCCTATATAGTGAAACACAAAACTTCTCCACTTTGACACTGATCTAAAAAATATTTTTCTGTGGAGACTATGTAAATTAGATCAGAGCTTTTAAAATTGCACAATAAACCAACACTGTGGTGAAAATTCTTTCACTGGGGAGTGTTCTGATTCCAAAATTATTAGTGTTTATGAAGAAAACGATTTGTCTCTCTGCCCAGAGATGGTAATAACTTATTTTGGGGTTGGGACAAAAATTGCTGATTTGTAATTTTGTTTTATTGTTTCTTCTGATGAGTTGAAAAAATTGCATTAAGGTGGATAACATACAATTCTTAATTGTAGGTCTGCAGAGGAACAGAACGCAAGGCACATCTCATGATGTTCAAATATGGATGATTGCTCATCACTGTTGAAGCAGGTTTATGGGTTACTTACTACACTAATGTTATTGTCTCCTCTCTGCATCCCTCCCCCAAATTTATTTCATCCATTTATTCTTTCTTTTCTTCCCTCCAGTTTCAATTCCAGGAATCATGCTTTTTTGAGACATTATAAGACATTGCCTATTTTTCACATAGCACCACTATTTGACAGTTAAAACACTTTTTGTTTCATTTATATTTGAAAGTCTCTTAAGATTAAGGTTAGTTCTTAGAATCTATGATTTTGCTACCTCTCCTTCAGTTTGCTGATCTTAAATTAATGATTCACTTTCTTGCATCTTTGATAAAAAATACAATTGCTTTTGCCAGTAACTTTGCCAGGATATCTTTTTTCCTTCCTAGAGTACAGCTGCATTTTATTTGTTCTGGTTATACATTGCCCTTTAAAATTAGTTGTAGACTGGTTTTTCCTCCGCTTGATATTTAATCTCTCTTTCTTTCCTTCTAAGGATTAATTTAACAAACTCACTGCTAAATTTCAAATTTCTCTTATTTCAGATTAAGTCTATGTTAATTACTATTCCCCCAACTTCTTTTATCTACCATCTATCTATCTATCTATCATCTATCTATCTATCTATCTATCTATCTATCTATCTATCTATCTATCTATCTATTTATCTATTCCAGCTTTGTATTTTAAAAGCAGCTTGCCCATAGGAATGAGTTTGTTTTGGGAGAATTGGTTGCATCTGTCTGGGAGGGGAACACTGGACCTAGAATGAAAAAACTGTTTCTGGCCATGCTCTCACTAACTAGATCAGTGACATTGGCCAAATGACATAATCCTGTTTATACCTCAGGAACTCATTGAAAAATGAGGAGGTTGGGGCAGATGATTTTTAATTAATTTAGAGATTATGTGGTCTATTAACATTTCATGCTTCTGGTTTTTAAAATATTTTTCTGGAATGTGAGAATAAAGAATGGCCATATGCATATTGCAACTATTACTTTGATTTCTTCTTTCTCAAGCAGATAAATAAATATGGGCCCATTAGCTTACAGTCTTTAGTTCTTTCATATATAGTAATAAATGCCCTGGAGTTTACTGGAGACAATATTGTTAAAAAGGCAAGAATCAGCATTTATATCTCAGTAAATGTGAATAATTCAGGATTTTACATAACAATCTATTTTGAAGCATCTGCTGATTAGGTTAGACAATAGCAAAATGGTTAAAGGCCAAAGAAGGGAAAATCAACCCACCCACCCACTAAGCGAGAATTCCTGAATGTCAGCAGCACACAGGAGAATCCCTTAGCAGACCTTTAAAAAGGTGTCACCACCTGCGTGGTGAGGTGCGTGGAGGCCAGAGGCAAACATAGCTGGCTGCTGTGGGTGGTGCTGTGTGTAAGTCCCATACCTTGCAGCCTTCACACGTGATGACTCCGTAGTGGATCCCGGAGGACTTATCGCCACAAATTTTGCATGGTATCACTTCAATTTGTGCTGAAAAGGGAAAACGGACATTTTGAGCTTACAGAGTTGTTTTCTTCCTTTCACCCTCCTATCTCCCTCCCCGCCGTGACCTTGGTGTCTGAAGATACTGGGGTGTGGGTGTGGGGTCATCCACGCCTGTTTGAATGGGCTCCCTAAGCTGCTTCTAATTGAAGGGGCATCCATCTTATTTGCTTCCTTTTTCTCAACCAAAATATATTTCTCAAACTAATATAACCAGGGACCAGAAGTTTCCTAAACTTTTGCCTTCACTGTTTTCTCCTTTTTAAACTTGACTTTGAAATAGTGTGACACAGAAATCTCTGGAATCCCTGTCTTTGGTGTTCTTATTTTGCACTTCAAACATTAAGTCACTGAGAGTTATCACATGGCCTTATTTCAGTAATATTTGAAATAGGTAAATAAAGCAAAACTGGAGGCGGCAGTGCTGGTGACTTTATACATTATGTGGCTGAATGTTTACTTGTGAAAATGCCAATAATGAATCAGTCAGGTATTTACCGAGCATACACTATGTGTTCACTAAAATGATAAAGGTTGTTGACACAAGATACGATATACTGATGCCAATAATCTAATGAATAAAACATAATGCATAAAGAAATCAGAGAAAAATGATAAAGTATGTGGGTACTAACTATGACTTCAGTAGGAAGTAAAATTATTTCATTGGAAATGACAGTTTGGTTGCTTTTGAAGACTGTGTAGGATTTGGTTGGGCTGAAGTGAAAGGCAAAGGGCATTTCTGAAAACAGAATTGAATGACGGAGGTCTGGAATGAGTGAAGGTGGTCCAGAATGAATGAAGGAGGTCCAGAAAGAATTGAAGGAGGTCTAGAATAAATAAAGGAAGTCTGGAATGAATAAAGGAGGTCTGGAATAAATGAAGGAGGTCTGGAATGAATGAAATAGGTCCTGAATGATTGTGGCTTGTGATCATTGCGACAAGCAACTTGGCTCTAATGGAAACCTGGGCCTTATGGTTGGATAGAGGAAGTGATAGCAGATTATGGAGCTCCTGGGAGTTAGGCGGAAGAATTTTCACCTGATATCACTGGTCATAGAGAATCAAGGAAGTGAACAGGGGGAAGAAATGATGAAAGTGGTGGTTTGGTTACCTTAACAAAGGTGAGTTCGGTAGGTTAACTAGAAATAAGCGGAAGACCAAGTGAAAGGCTATGCCTACCTAACCTGGGCATTAGGAGATGAACGTGTGGATTACATCAGTAGCAGGATAAATGGAGAGGTAGAGGCAAATAAAAGGTAGTGCAAAGGCAGAGATTGAGAAGATGAATGACAGAAAGGACACAGAGGTAGAAATTGTAGATTAAATAGTAGGTTTGACAAAAATGGAGATGTTGGTAAGGCAACTACTTTGTGGATTATGGTCGGGCATAGGATTTCCATTTTGCATGTGTTCAATTTGGTGTCTTGTAGTCACCTGTATATAGAACCTCTTGGAAAGATGATTTTAAATCATCAGCATCGAGGTTATAAATAAGTTCATGAGATAAACTTTATTTAGAATGTAGTAATCCTATCTCTGATAGTATTCGAAATGTTGTTAAAATTATACACACTGGGAAGATCTGCTTTTCCCACTCCCAATTTAAAATAATTATGCAAAATGTGTTTCAAATGCTTTGTACATTAATGTGCCACTTGGATGCTTTTCTGCAATTTCTCACCCTTGAATATACAAAACAAATAAATGCAAATCATACACCCTCTTTTGCTTATTGTTCTACATTAAAAAAAGGATAATATTTAGCTTTAGGAGCATATTAAATTTTTTGAAACTAAATATTTCATAGTAAGTTTAAATCACTTTTAAAGCTAATAATTCAGTGTTATATCCTTATTTTTCATATGAGAAAACTGAGGATCAAGGTGGCTAATGATGCCCTTGAGTTGACCTGGTGGATGGCAACCAGATATTAGCCAATTTTCCTGATATTTCATTTAGTAGCCCTTTCTGTGTCTCCCACAAAGATAAAATATGAATACAAATTTGAATTCCTATATTATTGCAATAACACCAGCTGAAGAGATAATGATGAAAACATCAGGAGAAGAGACAAAGTCAGTTAAAATACTTATTAGACTATTTTTTTTTTGCTTCTAGCCTTTTAGCTTTCAGATTACATTAACTAGTATTTATTTTCAAGATTCGTGATATAGAAAAATGAGAGATTTGATGTCATATTATTCTGTCCTGTTCTCTTGTATTCCAGTCCCTAATCTGTAACAGTTGGGGCCATGGCCATGATAAAACCCTTGATCTTGATTTTTGGTTTATAAAGCTTAGCTGACAAACTTCATAGATTTGTAAGGATTAAATGAGGTAATTTATGTAGAGGCGCCTTGTAAATAGTAAAGGCTTTAAAAATGTCAGTCTTCTTCATCATCATCATTTTAAATGCTATTTCTAATACTTTCGGACAAGAAATAGGATAAGCCACATTACTCTTCCTTTCTTAAAAATCTTATCCCTTAAAAAACCAAATGAAGTTATTTGTACTGTTTTCTTTTTGTTTTGTGTCTTGATAAACTTGCAAACAGTAGATTCTTTATGATGATTACAAAATTGACTAAAAATCCCAGGTATCCATTGTACAGTTGTTAGACTTATATGATATTAAGTCAGAGGGGCTCTTTGCATAAATTACTCCCCAGGGAGTAACTTACACGTGGGGAGAATCTGCTTCAATAAGTTCTTAATTATAAAATGATCTAACTCTAAAGGAAATGAAAATAGAGGTAATTTGCCCCCTGCAAAGTGAGAAGATGTTTTTGAAAGCCACAAAGGTTATCTTATACAACTTCAGAAATATAAATGGGATAAGAAATGATTCCATACAGCATCTGCATATTTATACATATTTATAATCCTAGCTCAACATGTAATCCTGAAGAACCATAAACACTTTAACAGTACTTTTAAAGAGAAAGAAGACACTTACAAGGGTATATGTGTGTTGCTGTGTGTGAGAAGGGATTATTGGTTTGGAAAAACCTATGACCATTTTTACTTTTGGCAGAACAGGCCAGCTGAGGTTTATTACAGGTAAAGATAAACATAAATAATTTAAAGTACTAATCCTTTGCCTTTCCTCTCATTTAAAATAAACTGCTTCTGAAACACAAGTTTATAATTCATACTGTGTATTTTTTAAAGCACATCTTCAAGACAGAGGATGATTAGGACAATAGGTCACCTGATTGCTTCAATATTTGCCATTTCTAAATGTCTTGCCATTACACCGGCCATAGCTTCCCATGAGATTGCCTTGAGTGAATACAGATCTGGTGACATGCTATTGATAGTGGTTTCAAACTGAACATCTAGGGAGGATTTGGTGACTTGGACCTCACCAGCTATGACGATGATGGTGTGATAAGGAAACTGAGGAGGGAGTTCAACTTTCATACCTTTGCATGACTCAGGAATTAATTAAAAAATAGCATTCTCTGAGAGACCAACGTAGAGGAACTGAAATGCCCTGAGAGATGGCTTGAGATATGCTCATCTCCCTGTTTTTCCATTTCTTTTATCTTGCTCTCATTTAGATTGGTCTATTGGTAATCCTTTGTGGAAATTCTAGTTAAAATTTTGTCTACCAATTACATTTTTTGTTTATAAAACAATCAGAAGAAATTTTTCTTGAAATGATAGTCTTATAATGTCAAAGAAAGTCATGAAAGATTTAAAATAATTTGATGGGGCTGGCCGAGTAGCTCAGATGGTTAAGAGCTCGCTCAAGAGTGTGAACTCTGAGCAACAGCGGTTTGATGCCCGGCCCGAGCTGAGCTGCCGCTGAGCTACCAACAGGTGGCAGGATGGCTCAGCTAAAAAAACCAAAACAAAACAAAACAAATTGATGTTTTATGTTACATTAAAACAATTTATGAACTATAGTTAATGTAATACCCCATGATTTGGCAGGCAGGTCCTATTCAACAATTACAGAGTAGTCAAAATGTGTCTCTTCTTTGAAGATGGCAGCTCTCTCCCTTCTAGTATCTCCTGAAGGCCCTCCCTTGTTTAGGGCCCCTTACCACAGTATCACACAAAACCACCATGTACTCAGTTCTTCCTGCTAATCAAAATGTACATATCTTTTGTTCTGCTCTCTCAGAGCCACCTGCTGGTGAAGGCAGGTGTTAAATTAGATTAACTAATCCAGGCTAATGAGTTAACTATAAAATGTATCACTTTGACCCATCAAAATATCTTAACTCTTAAAAGCATCCATCAGGAATGGTAGTAATTATAGGCTGTTCAGGTGCTTTCTGGTTGGAGGAAACATTTTTACTTTATGTGCTCTTGTGACTCTCGATTCCATTTCTTAAAACTCCACCTGGCCATTTTATATTCTGGGCATGTTGAGTCCATTGAGGACAGGATCCAGGTCATACTCTTTTTTAAAATTTTTTATGGAGCCCCAAAGAGAATTTTTATAACGTCTTAAAGTTGTGGTACTAAATTTATTTTTCTTTTTCTTTTTTTTGTTTCCATACAAGCAGGAGATTTGACATACTCCATTTTATAAAAGAGGCTTTCCATAAATGGGGTGAGGAGAAGAAATCAGAATCCTGAGATTAGGGTGGATGTATATTTTGGAACAGGCCCCCCAGGTGATTAGGCCCCACTAAGGATTAAATGAATCAAATTATTAAGTAGGAATTCACTGTAGCATGTAAACCATCTGTAAAAGTCAATAAAACTTAATCCTTTCCCTAAAATCTGAAAATATTAAGGAGTGACCAGTAATCTCCTGGACTTTAATTTGGGGCTATACTTGTGGTATCTTTTGTTTTCTGCCCTCACCCCCTTTTTTCCTTAAGGAAAATAAGCTTCTCCCCAGTCTACAATAACTCCCATTCCTGGCCACTGTGTTTGCCTCTCAGTTTTGGTTTCCCAGAATTTTCCATTTATACTAAAAGTGAGCAGTGCAGGAAAAACTCTTAATGTCTGAGTAAAGCACAATT